TGCCTGTCTCTCCCCCAGTCTCTCCTGTCTGCCTGTCTCTCCCCCAGTCTCTCTTGTCTGCCTGTCTCTCCCCCAGTCTCTCCACCTGCACTGACTTACAGTTTTATGAAGTGATGGCTTCCAGGGCACTGCACTCCTGTAGGCTGCTATTCCAGCCAGATATATCCTCATTACCATTTAGCAGGCGTTTAACCTGAAGTACCCTCTATAGAACACTATCCCTTACAAGACAACGTGGTTTTACCTGAGGAGGTGGGGGGAAGCGCTGGAACGAAGACTGCTGCTGTTGGAGAGGGGGGGTCTGCGAGTAGGGGGCCGGTTGGCCCTGCGGAGGCTGAGAGTGTCCCGGCGGCTGCTGGGACTGCGGGGGTTGAGCCGCCGCTTGCACCGGGGGCTGCTGAGAAGGTGGCTGCTGCTGCTGCTGCTGCTGCTGTGGATATCCTGCCTGACCCTGGGCGCCCGGAGGAGCCTGGGAACCCGGCTGTGGGGGCGGCTGTCCCGGGGCCACCTGCTGGTGGCCGTAGGGAGGCTGACTCTGGCCGTAGGGTGGCTGGCCCTGAGACTGCGTGTAGGGGGAACCGGGCTGGCTGTGCTGCCCATAGGGCCCCTGCTGCTGGCCCTGCTGGCTGTAGTAGGAGGCAGGGCTCTGCTGCCCGTAGGGACCCATCTGCATGGGGAGAGACGACACAGACTCAGGCCCTGCCCATCGACAGCCCCACCCTCCACACAGAGAGGGTGAGAAATGAGGAGGCACATAAATATTATAAATAAATATAGGGCGCTACCTGCTGGCCGTAAGGCATGCCAGCCATGCCCCCAGGGGTGCGACCCTGCATGCCCATAGGGTATCTCTGAGGGGCAGGCGGGCCGTAGCCTTGGCCGGGGTAAGGCACCCCCTGCTGCTGCCCAGGAGAGGGGCCCTGCTGGGGCTGCTGTGAGTAGGGGTTGGCAGCTCCATAGGGCTGGCCCCGCATCTTCGCCATGGGATCCATGGGGCTGGGGGGCTGTGGGGCAAGAGGAGAGCCGTGGCGTTAGACACGGACAGACAGCGATGGCGGTTGGGTCACCGCCAGTATTCCTGCACTCTGTCACACAGGGGAACTTTTCAAACGACGGGTCTCACTGGGAGGCCTAGTCTGCTGTGACACGGCAGTACCAAGCCCAGCAATGGGCGGCACAGTGACACAGCGAGAGGTGACCGGGCGACATGGTAGCACGCAAACTTGCAGACACCAGGCCTAGGCACTGGCGAGTGGCAGGCAGACATTAGCACAGAAGGACCAATCGGGTTTCCCACAATGCTCAACGGGAGATGCCAGACAGACACCTGGCCACAGTGATGACCTCCGTACACGTGTGCGGCAGCCCCCAACATCTGGATTCCTAAATGAATGAGAATCAAGCAGAGACTCGCCGGATGCAGGCCAGGGACAGCTGTGCCAGCAGCACACGCTTCCAAAAAGACATCCATCCGTGCCCTTTTCTGTATGAGCTATGCATCATATAGGGTCCAGGCCACTTTTTATGGATCATACGCAAGGAACAGAATATCAATACAGCTCCAAAAGAGAGTGGGAACCAGGGAGACCAAAGACAGACTCACTCTTCTTGTACATGTGAGATACAGGCAGGATGGAGGAAGAGGAGACGCGTAGACGCAGGTGAGGAGTGGGGCTGCGTTGGCCGGCAGCAAACCAGCGAGATGCTACTTTGCTTCCCACAGTGACTTTTCTACCTTTTTTTTTTTTTAAACCTCACTTAGGGTTAGTTGATGACTGAGCTATTTATAGCCCATGAAACGGCAGCCAGGCTGATGAATCCTAACACTTCCCAGCTGCACAGCCGCTAGAGGCCGATCCAGACGGTCGCTTGTGTTTCCACACAGACGCCCTGGCACAGGAGGAGGCTTGCAGGCACTGGCAGTGGGGGGAACCTTACTGCTGGGGGAGGAATGCCAAAGGTCTCAGAGGAAAGCCAGTCCATCCCAGGGTTTGGCTTCAGCCAGGCTCTGCTGCTCAGGGCGGATCGACAGCAAGCATGGAACTAAGCCCAGCCCCAGTTCTGCCACAGCCCGCCCCCATCCGGGGCTTTCCAGCTAGTCACGACGCTGTGTGAAGCGTGTCACCGGCAGCTTCTACCTGCAGGCCAACTTCTCGGTGCTCCAGAGCACTTTCTCCAAGAGAACTTGGAGAAATGAAGAGGCTCTGCGGACAGCTGAAGAGGCTCGGCGTGACACAGGAAGCAGGAAGAGCAGCTGCCAGACAGTGAGGCAGCAGAGCTTGCGCTACATTGCCAGTATGCACGTAACACTGAGGCACGGTGAGCAGGCCGAAACCTGCAAGCGAGAGAGCCCCACCCTCCCAAGCAGATCGCATGCACTCAACCCTCAGGAGAGTCACCCCCACACTCATCCCTCTCTCACTCGCTCAGGGATCAGTGGATGGGCAATAGACTCTTCAATGGCCAAATAGCAAACAATTAAAGGTGATTAGCTCATGGCTAATCTGCATATAAAGAAACCATAGCAGCCATTGGTGGGGGGAGGACATCATCTCCCTGTGTCTGGAACAGATCAGAAGCAACCACTGCTAGTATGATCCAGCACATGCCAGCCAATGAGGAGGGGAGACATGGAAGTTTACAGCATAAAATATTTTACGCTTAAACAGCCATCTTTGTGACTAATTTTTCAATGGCCATTTCCAAAATTACTAACACTGCCAGAAAACAAGACCAGGTGATGGACTGCTGCTTAATAAAGTTTCATCTAATCATAAAACAAGGAAAAATGTTTACTTCGAGGCTGTAATACATATAGGTTCAATATTTCGATAAACAAACAACGAACCTTTCAACCTTCTTGACGAACTGACCCAAAAAAATAAGCAAAAAAAAAAAACGTTCATTGATTTGCGGATAAAATACCTGTAGAGACGTAGTAGGATCACAGCACCTAACTGTGCCCTTTCTTGGCTGCACCTTTAGGACAGCCTTGGGGTGCGTGACACCTTAACAGCCTGAACTCCCAGCCCTACAAGCCCTAAATGCCTGTGCATCTCTAGGCGGAGTCGTGGTGCCAAACCTTAACTTAGACACGAGATAAGGACCTAGACTGAAAGCAAATAGGACAGCGCTTATGTGTGACGATGAAAACTGCAGTTCCGATAGTTTACAAAAGCAAAGACCTCAAAAAAGCAAATATTAGGAAGCTTTTTGTTTAAAGAGAATTTATCAGTGTCACTTTTGCAATGGGTTGTACAAATGTTCTCTTTTCATGTTCGAGTTACTTCATTTTAACACTGATCATAGTTCATACAGCCCCTCAACCACCCACGCTGTACTAGCTCACCCATCACAGTAATAGGACTACTAGCCTGAGCACTACTGAATGCTACCAGTTTGCACCTTAATTTCCCCTCAGGGATTAATAAATTTGTGCTGCAAGAACATGCAAAATAATGCGTCGCTTCAGAGAGTGAGGTATTTGACGAACACCATACAAAACACTTAAAAATATCTACAAACATGCACACCATTTAGAGCACATCAGACTAGTGCAGTCTTTGTGCTTAATGTGTGTAATTAGTTCTCAATGACATCTTCTGGCCAAGGCCACACCCATCCGTGTGACAGCCAATTGCAGGCTGCCCCAGAGGAGGCGTGGCATGACTGCATCCTAACGTCGCATTGGCACGTGTTGTTCTGACAGTGTGTGCTCAGAAAGGCAGCAGACAGCTGAGCCAGAGCAGCAAATTACCATGTTAATCCTACTTTCTCTTCAAAACAAAGTTCAATGAAAGGGATTACCATGATTTAGGCTTGGCCTAAATGAAAGACTCACCATGTGAAATTTACACACATGCCAGCGCCACTTTCCATGGGCTCAGGCAGGTCGAACGAATCACCCAGTCACCCTCTCTCTCTCACACACACACACACACACACACACACACACACACACACACACACACACTCACACACACACACACACACACACACAAACACACACCTCTGGGCAAAGCTGGCATGGCCACATTATACCATGGTGCTCAGGCAAGTAGCAACAGCA